GCGCGCCCCACCTGAAACCCCATGCCATGGTCGAGGTGAACAAATGTCGGAAAACTTCGAGACGGACAGCGAGACTCCTCCCTCCGCTTCTCTGATTCTGCGGCATCTTCGTCGCCCTCTGTACCCAAGCCACGGCAGCCGCCGCCGCCGCCGACGACGACGAAGGAGTTCTTGTTGGGCGACCGATCATTGTTGCCAAGCACGTAGTCCAGCATCGCCTGCTCCGAGAGGGCGGCGAGCGGGCCGTACGGCACCAGCGTCTCCGCGTGGAGCGGGTTGAACCACCGGTGCCACCCCGGCCTCTTCTTGCTGTACGGCACGCGCAGCGGACTGCCCAGCAGCGGCGCGACCCCAGCGAGCCGCAGCTGCAAGCTGCACCACACATCGGCGCCACCACGACGTGTGAACACCTCCGCCGCGCCGCGCCGCGTGCCGTGTTGTGTGAGGAAGCGGAACACGTCGTGCTGCAGCCACGCGTCGTACGTGCTGGTCTCTGGCCCACGGGAGAAGGCCGGAATCATGCGGATGTGGCGCCGCGACCGCCTCGCCACAGCCTGCTGCAGCACCTCCAGCGGGATCGGGAAGAGAAACGTCGGCGGCACACGCCTTACGCCGAGCTTGCGGTCCACCGCAAACGCCGCCACCTCGGCGAAGGGCTCCAGCGGGAACTGCAGCTGCGGCACCTTCACGATAAAGGCAACGGTTGCGAGACAGGACCGCGCTTCCACCGCCCCGCGGAAGAAGCAGAAGGACGCCTCAAATTTGATGGTGCGCTGCTCCAGGGAGGGCGCGACGGCGTCGAGCCGCACCCACACCAGAAGCGGGGCGCTGCTGTCACTGTTTTCGTGGCTGCTGCGCAAGACAACCCAACGCCGCACCTCAGCTGGGAGCGGAACAACTGTGCTCCATCCCCAATACCGCCCCTCCGGCCCCAGCGTCTCCCTTTCTCGTTGCTGCGTCTGCGGAGACGAGAGCGCCGCCCTCAGCAGCAGCCGCGCCGATTGAACGCACGACACGTCGCGGGCAGCATCAAACGGGACAGTGACGGGGTCGCATGGCTGCCTCAGACCCGCTTCGTCGCTATCATGCCCCGTCTCGCGCTGCACGTAGTATTTGGGATCAACGGTGTCACGGAATACGTCATCGTACGACCACCACGACTGTGGCTGTAGGGAGGCGTTCTTCTCCAGCATGCTCGCCACTCGGCGGCGCTGCAGCTCCCTTGCCGTGTCGTACTCATTGCCCCCCAACACCCCTCCCGAGCCACGCGCCCACGTGCTCCTGCTGCGGCACCGCGGCAGAATGTCGCGAGAAAACAAAAGACGCGCCGCCTCATCCGACGGCACTGCCACCGCTTTTCTCGCCCCTGCCTCTGCCGTGTCTGCCGCAGGTGATGTGTCACGCAACGGGGACTCCACGAGTAGCGGATCGCTTTCACGCGTGTGGTGATGCGGCGATGTGCCCTTGTGGTGGGCACCGGTGGCGTGCAACATCAGCAGCAGCAACACCAAGAACCACACAATGATGACACACGCCGTGGCGCGGCAGCAGCCCCGCACCCTTTTTGGTCGGCGTGAATACATGCATGCGGGTGGCTCCACGGACGGCATTCTGAGGCGCGGCAAACCCAAAGCAATCCAACGCGCGAGAGGGTGAGAGGCGATAAAAGCAACAA